TGGATTGACACAGTGGCTGTAACAGCGGACTCAAACATAACAATTGTGAGGATGGTGCAGCACTGAGCAGTGTTTCATTCTGTTGTAGTAAAGTCTATATGAGCTGAAACTAACTCGACAAAATCTAACAACAAGAAGTCAGGAGGGAAAATAATTTGTGTTAAAATGTTTAAGGTCCTTGAATTAGGGAGTGAAAATAGTTAAATTTTATCTTTTGTTAAGAGTGCTCTCTCTCTCTCTCTGTTTCTTTTTTCTGTGTGTGTGTGTGTTTTAATTTCCACAGTAGTAAGCCATACAGGGGAGAAGGAATTTGTACCACTTGTAATGGACAATGTTGTTGTTGTTGTTATGTGCCGTTGAGCCAGCCCCGACTCATAGCGACCCCTCCTTGGGTTTCCGAGGCAGTATCACTACGGAAGTAGGATTGCCCAACCTTCCTTCCGAGGAGTGGCTGGTGGGTTTGAACCGCCAGCCATCTGGTTAGCAGGCAAGTGTCTTAGCCACTATGCTACCAGAGCTCCCATAATGGACAATAGATTATATTAGTCTCTAGAAACTATAATGAACTTTAAAACTCAATTTTAAGGAAAAGACAACCCAATAGAAAAATGGAAACAGGAAAATGCAAATTAAGATCATACTTAGGATCTATTTTACACATACAGATTGTCAAAAACTAAGAAGTCTTGATCCAGCAATATCACTACTAGGAATATATCCTAAAGAGGTGAGATTTAGGACATGATTACATATATGCACACCCAAGTTCATTGCAACACTATTTGTAATAGCGAAGAGATGGAATTAGCCTAAGTTCCCATCAATGGATGAATGCATAGCCAAATTGTGGTACATACACACAATGGAATACTATGCAACACTAAAGAATAATGAAGAGTCCTTGAAACACCTCATAACATGGATGAACTTGGGAGACATTTGAAAAAAAAAAAAAAAAAACTCACTGCTGTCAAGTCGATTCCAACTCATGGCAACCCCTCCTTGGGTTTCCCAGGCAATACCTCTACAGAAGTAGATTGCCCATTCTTCCTTCCAAGGAGTGACTGGTGGGTTTGAACCACCAGCTTTCTGGTTAGCAGTCAAATGCCTTAGGCACTACGCCACTGTTGTTGTTGTTGTTATGTGCCGTCGAGTCATACCTGACTCATAGCGACCCCTCCTTGGGTTTCCGAGGCAGTATCACTACGGAAGTAGGATTGCCCAACCTTCCTTCCGAGGAGTGGCTGGTGGGTTTGAACCGCCAGCTGTCTGGATAGCAGGCAACTGTCTTAGCCACTATGCTACCAGAGCTCCACTAAAATAAGGACACACATTGTATGAGTTCATTATAAAAAGTCAAGGAAATATTTACACAGGGAAGGAAATTTTCTTTGTTGGTTATGAGGGATAGGAGGGAAGGAGAGGGAAAATTGCCAACTAGTTAAAAGACATGTATTGATTTGGGTGAAGGGAAAGACAATATAACAAAAGCGTGCGACCAGCACAATACCACTAAAGAAAAAGACTACATGGAGAAATGCACAATAAGTACAAGCAACCAAAGTAAATACTATTACACATACAATACTGCATTATCAGTAATAACAAACATTAATTTATGGGGGGATATGAGTCGGGTTTGACTCGACGGCACACAACAACAACAACAACAACAACCTAGGGAGACAGGCAAGATTATCAGATATAGGTAGGTGAATGGTAATATACCTATGACCATATATAGGTTTGGCAGATGATGTTTCTACATATTTATTTATATGTGCCATAAAAATGTGCATAGCTATAATAGAACTAATGGGGCAAAGTTAATTCTTGGAAAATTCTTACCCACAACCAAACACCTTAAGGGAGTGAGTTACTGGGCCTGTGGTCTTGGGGCCATGGTTGCAGGGGACATCAAGCTCAATTGGCACAACATAGTATACAGAAACCTTGTTTTATATGCCACTTTGGTGGACCCCTGCTGGGGTCTTAAATGCCTGTGAGCAGTCATCTAAGGTGCAAATCTTGGTCTCTCCTTCTCCGGAGAAAAGGAGAGTGAAGAAAATCAAAGACGCGTGGAAACAATAAGTTCAAGGAACTAATGGACCCATGGGATTCTCAGCCTATATGACCCTGAGATCAGAGCAACTAGATGGTGCCTGGCTATCAATACCAACCACTAGGAAAGGGATCAAAATTGGAGATCATGGATAGAGTGGGGGAAAAATGTGGAACAAAATTCAAAAACATAAAAAGTCCAGGATTACTGTTTGGACAGATACTGGTGAAACCCATGACACTATGGTCCCTAGTCACCTTCAGGACCTGGAATTGAATTCACTCCAGTGACTGAATTCTCAGCCAAACAATAGACAAGTCTATGAGCGCAACAGTTATACCAAAAAGATGCATTCCTTCAAACAGTCAACCATGGGAGAACAGAAGGGCAACATTTGCACAGGGAGGAAGTGATAAGAGAGCTATTACCTTGGGGGGATTGTAATCAATGTCACAAAATAAAATGTGTATGAACTGTTGAATGGGAAATGCGTCTACTCTGTAAAATTTCATCCAAATCACAGTAAAAAGTTGGAAAAAAATTGAGAAGTCTTGACAACACCAGTTGTTGGAGAGGATGTGGACCAATAGGAACTTTCTTAAACTACTAGAAAGAGTGTAAATTGGTATAACCATTTTGGAAAATAGTTTGACATTATCTTGTAAATTTTAATATCCATATGCTGTATAACCCAGAACCTCCAATCCTAGGTAAATCTTGTATGTGTACATCATCCAACATTTACAAGAATATTTGAGGAAGTACAGTTCATAATAGCAAAATATTTGCAATAGCTCAAATATCCATCAATGTGAATATAGATCAATAAATTGTAGTGCAGCTGTACAATGCAATATTATGTAATGATGAAAATGAGGGAATCATAGCTGTTCCAAAAAAGAAGGTGAATTTTAAAAGCCTAATCCTAGGTTTTAAAAAATGCAAGTCCCAAAAAAACTACATATAGTGTGATACCACTTAATAAAGCCCTAAGAAGCAAAACTAAACTGTGTTATCTAGGTATACTTTCTTAGGTGATAAAACTATACTTTCCTAAAAGGCAAGGAAATGATAAACACAAAATTGAGAATAATAATTACTTTGCCAAGGGGGCTGCCCAGGAGATAGGAGTTGGAGAAGAGAAGAATCCATATGTAAATATAAATTGTTGATGATGTTTTTACATCTTGAGCTGGACAGTGGGTTCATATGTGATTATTATCTTATTATATTCAATAGTTACATATATTTTTCTTTGTAACTAATATTATATTTAAAAAGGCAACAACAAAAGTTAAAAGGGAAAAGAATGTGCCAATGACTGTAATGTCTCACAGTTTAGAATCACAAAACATCAGATAGAAATGTGTCCTCATTTTACAGATGGAAAAGGTGAGACCCAGAAAGAAAGTTGACTCACACATATTCATTTAACAGATTTAACAGAGCACTGTTGTAGCTGTATGGGTTAAATTTAAGGGCATAAGAGACAATCCCTTCCTCCCAAGGAACTCAACAATTTTAATTGAGAAGCGGCAGAAGGGCAGAAAATACACAAATAAATTTAATACACAAATTATGTGGTATATTAGAAAGTTGTAAGTGCTATTGGGGGAAAAAAAAAAAACCTGGAGCAGAGTAAGGGGGAAGGTCACCTCAAGGTATTAAATAGGACAGGTAAGACTCATTGAGAAGGTGAAATTTGAACAAAACTTGAAGGTGAGGGAGACAGGCAAGTGTATATTTAGAGAAAGAGCTTGCTGGGTAAGAGAAAGAAAGATGTCAAGGATGACTTGGAGAATTTGGGTTGGAGGAACTGGGAGGATGGAGTTGCATTAGCAAGATAGAGAAGCTGCAAGTAAAGTTGGTCTGTAAGTGGAACTCGGAGTTCAGTTTTGGACATGCTGAGTTTGAGATGGCTGTTAGATTTCCAAACAGAGATGTCAGGTAAACAGGAGGACATACTCATCTAGAGTTCAGAATAAAATCTGGAAAAAGTTGAAATGCATGTCAGTGGCAGAACTGATGCTCCTTCAGTACTTTTGTACCAAACAAGGCCAGATAAATTTAGAAGAATTAAAAACGAGTTGAGTTTCATGAAAATGAGCACAATAGACGTGAATAGGAATACTATCAACAACTAACAACAACAAAAAAATGGAGTTAGAAAATATTTCTAATTATAAATTTTTCTTCAGTTTTTTTTTTTTCTGAAAGTTACAAATATAATAGAATTCCATTAGCCTCAAATTGACTTATTTGCCATTTTATGATAGTAGTAGGTTTCCTGTGGACTTAGGTATTTCTTCTCATGTTATTTCATATTCTCTCTTTTTGTTCATAGGTTACAATAGTTATGGAGCACTTTTTTTCAATTGCAAAAATAACTGAAATAAATTCTGCAGGATATTAGGCAATAGAGAGAATTCCAAACAATTATCCACATGTGGATTTTTATTGGCCCTGGTCGTGGTTTAGAATGAAATGATTATAATGTTGCCAAACTGCTTAGCACAGTTTTAAAGGCTGGGGCATGCTGTTGGAACAATTTGCAGAGAGACTGAACTGATTACATGGTGTTTTATTTGCATTACATTAAATCCAGAGCATTTCTTACAGCGTGCTGAAAACTAAATGCAGAGCCAAGATACATTGAATGACATCAGTTGGATGTGGTCACTGTCTAACAGATACTAAACCCAAGCCAAACCCACTGCATCGAGTCGATTCCAACTCATGCTGGAGATCCTCTCATTCTTTATCTTACCTCAAAAGAAAATTGGATTTCAAAAAGATAAAGTGACTTGTTGAAACTCAACTGGCAACAGAACTGTGTCATGAACCTCCCTCTTAACAAACCAGTGCTCCTTTAGCATGTCCTGTAGGTGTCCCAGAGACTTAAGATTTGCTTCTTTTTTTTTTTCATATCCCCTTGCAGGGTTTTTTCCGGAGGACAATCAGATTGAAGCTTATTTATGATAGATGTGACCTGAACTGTCGGATCCACAAAAAAAGTAGAAATAAATGTCAGTACTGTCGGTTTCAGAAATGTCTTGCTGTGGGAATGTCTCATAATGGTAAGTAAATGCATATCATCATGTACCTTATTATTCTCATTGTATCTGGCAGATCAGTGGACACTAGGACCAGAGTGGCAAATGTGTACACTTTTCCTAGAAAATGCCAGATTTCAGAATATTGCATGTTGCTAAGACATTTCTCATGTAGGGCAAGATTTTTAAATTTTCAGTGTAGAATCCTTCTCTCTGTGGTTCAGCATCTGCCATAAGGAGAGAAGAGACTAAAACTCTCAGGGCCTAAGAACATTGTAGTGTTTTAAAACAAATATAATAATGATTATGATTGATTTTTTATATTGCTTCAATAGCATTAAAAACAGAATTGCACTTCTGTGTGTCAGCAGTTTCTTCTTACTTTAAATACAAGGAAATCCTGCAGTGGAACTTTAAGTGATGTAGCAGAATTTAGATTTAATTACTGGACTCCCTGGGTAGTACAGATAATTTACACACTCAGCTGCTCACTGAAAGGTTGGATCTTAGAGTCCACCCAGAGGTGCCTCAAAAGAAAGGCCTGGTGATCTATTTCCCAAAAAATCAGCCAATGAAAATCCTATGGAGCACAGCTTTACTCTGATACATGTGGGGTCACCGTGGGTTGAACCTGACTTAAGGGCAACTGGTTTAATGTTTGCTATGGTTTTTGTTTTGTTTTCAGCTGGGTATTTTGGTTCTTGTTCCTTTTTGTTTTTTGTTTCTTTTTACTATGCAGAGATGAAGATAGCACTGTGTTTGGCATAAAGACTTATGGAAGGGATAAAGCAAGTATTTAAAAGTTTCACAAAACCATAGTTTCAGTGCCCATAGGAACAGTTGAGTATAAAACTTTCTACTTTTTGAACCCGGGTCTAAAATCAAGTTTATGACCTTGAGTACCTACTTAAAAGAAACAATGAGAAGACCTGAGGAGATCCATGTCTTTTATGAACTGTGGAACCAAGCAGTAAAATTAGATGGGCCCATATGAAGACCAAAATCTTCATCATCATTTGGCTCTAATTGGTTGACTGGCTCACAAAAGAAATTTTGGATATAACTTGATAATATTACATTATATTTGTCAAGTACTGATTCTTTCAAAAATCATTATGGGCTCGAGCAAATATAAAATAGCAAAGTGATTTAATTAAATCCAGTGTTTCTTTATGCTTTATATCCTATTTTTTCTTTCCTTTGCCTCAACTCTTTCAAGGCTGATCTGGTAAGAATCAAAGATAATCTTTGAAGCATATAAGGGCTTCATCTCTAAGGGCTCTAAAGCATCTGTGAAATTAATTTTTTCTTCCATCACGCACATGTTTGGTTTTCACATTAGAAACCATCAAGATATTTAGGGGGTCACTAATAAGGAGCTCTAGTGGCATAGTGCCTAAGGCATTTGACTGCTAACCAGAAAGTTGGCGCTTCAAACCCACCAGCCACTCCGCAGAAGGAATACTGGGCAATCTACTTCTGTAAAGATTTACTGCCTTGAAAACCCAAAGGGGGTCATTAGGAGTTGGAATTGATTTGATGGCAGTGAGTTTGTTTTTTGTTTTTGTTTTGTTTTAATTGGGCAGTGTCCCACCCCTTAAAAATAGTTTACAAAATGATATTTGTATGGTTAAGGCAAGCAAATTATAAATCCAGAATTAAGAATAATGATTACATTGCCAAGAGAGGAACTGGAAAAGGGAAGAATTCATAAGTAAATGCAAGTTGCTGGTCAGTTTCTCTAATGCAACTATGTGTTTTGAAGAAAGCTATCAAGGACACTGGACAGGATGGGAATTTGGTCCAACTTTCTTCAACAGTTGCCTACATCTGCTGTGTAGCTGTATACAACTACAGTCATTGATTATGAAATAATCTGCTGGTTTGATTCCATCAACTTCCTTTTTATTTCAGACCTCATAAAACATAAGACCATGTTTTAAAGTCAAGGTTTATATTTCAGGTGATGCAATCAAGTTGTAATAAACTTATTTCATCTTTATGAAGAAATTACTGACTTAAAAGTCCTTATCGCTGAGACAGCCCAGGAAAACATGCCAGTTCTGCTCTTAATGCTAGTTATCTTCTTCCTGTTAAAAAAGTGTCACTTCACACATTTATGTAAAAAATATCTCCTACTACTTATAGACAAATACTATTTGAGGTCCAAACTATGTAGTATTTATGGTATAATTTTCTCTTACCAGAAAAGTCAAAGGAAGTTGTGTCATTAACTTGATAATTGGTTCACTTTCTGACTTCATATGACAATTAACTACCTCCCTATTTAGAGGGGAGCAGTCTTGATAGAGGGTTTCCAGTAAATTCTTGCAAAGGCAAGAAAGAAATCAGCATTAGATGTTGGTGTTGTAACATTAAAGACTTACTCAATTCAACACTTAAAGAATTGTACACAACTAAGGAAATCTCTGGTAGCATAGTGCCTAAGGCACTTGACTGCTAACCAGAAGGCTGGCAGTTCAAACTCACCAGCCACTCCTCGGAGGAAGATGGGGCAATCTACTTCCATAGTGATACTGCCTCGGCAACCCAAGGAGGGGTCGCTATGAGTCGGGTCTGACTCGACGGCATATAACAACAGCAACAAAGAAAATCTCCAGAGACTTTCATCAAAATGTGTTGGCTTCACAGAAAAGGAAACTTCTGTAGGATCCATACAAAAGAAAGAAAGCTCAACAGCTGGGTTTTAATTAGTTTTGTCTGTTAATCCTGATGAAGGAAACTTCTAAATACAAAGTTCCTTAGGAGATTTAATAACTATTTAAAATTCACTGTTTTGGCCAATGTGAGGCCAACAGTAGTGAGGTTTCCACTCATACAGAATGCCTTTTTATTAATGCTTTGTGTGAACAGATCTCAATGCAGCAGAGTACCAGAGGAGATTCTAGTGGTATACCAAAACTGGCACCTAGCTGCTCTCAGTGTGCATGAGAAGAAATAGAAGTCCCTCACAGTAAATCTCCATTCTGTGTTACTTTTATTTCTGCTCTTTTGTGTCTTTTTAGTCAGTTCAGTGCATTTAGCTTCCTCTTAACCACCCACTTTCAGCTTTGAAGGAGGTTTCTGAACTACCTTTCAAGGAATCCTAGGGCCCTTGGGAATATTGTTGGAAAATCACTGCAATCAATTATCTGTTTGAATCTCTTAACTCTGTAATCCTACATCAATCAAACAACCTAACTCACTGAATTTTTCACTTTTCCACCAGCTATTCTGTATCTTATCAATGCCACACTCTTCCCAAATATCTAGACATCTGGCATCCAGCAATTGCCTGCATTTAAAATTTTGACCTATATGTTTTGGTGCCATAGAAATCTGATTTATGTACCAGAATCAGATCCTCTGTGATGACCATGTAGTGTGATGTAGCCCTCAGCTTACAACTCCAGGGCATTCTGGCCAAAGAAAGTGTAAATGGCATATTGCCCTGTGTATGGGTAAATCTCTTCAGATGGAGCTTTCATTTTGATTGGGATACAAAGCCTGAACATCACAGAAGAACATGATTTTGGAATTTTTCCAGTTGGAAACCTATTTCCCAAGTATCTATTTTTCAGTACTGGGTAGAAAAAGCACCCAGACAATGGACTGGTATTCCTTTTGTTATAATTAATTTATTTTATTGTGGTAAAAACATATTTACCAAAACATCCACTAATTCAACAATTCTTATGAGTAGCATTCAGTGACGTTAATTACATTTACCATGCTGTCCAACCATCACCACTATCCATTTCCAAATTTTTGTGCCATATTTAGCAGAAACTCAGTGTTCTCTAAGCAGTGACTCCCCTCTCCTTCTTCCCACCCCTGGTAACCAGTAATAGACTTTGGTCTCTGTACATTTATGTATAAACGGGGATCGTGCAGTATGTATGTGACTGACCTAGTGTAACATAATGTTTTGAAGGTTCTTTCATTTATAGTATGTGTCGGGACTTCATTTCTCTGTATGGCAGAGTAATGTTCTGATGTGCTTTGAATCAAATGTTTTATTTTTCTTTTAGGATCAAAATAAACAAACTTTCCACTTATTTTGGTCATTATAACATACCATTATATCTAGACCATGGGTCCATCCCACTGACTACTCAGAAGTCTTCCTGAGTCATTCCAAGCACAGTCAACTCAGTACGCTGTCTAGACGCTGCCTTTAGAGGAAAGCTCAAAATGAAAGTAGAGCAGAAATAAATGCTCTGCTTCCTAGGCTACCCAGAAGTGGATATAACTTCTAAGTGATCATTACATCAGCTATTATTTGCTTTTCAATTTGAGTTAGTGACACTGATATCTCTAGAACCTTGATAAAAATACTTTCATGGATTAATGCTTCTTCAGTCAAATAGACCCTTACATTTTCATAGTTTTTAAAACTACTAAAATGAGTTTTTGTTTTAAATTCTGTTGTCAAGGTCCTTGATGTTAATTGTGTTTTTAAAATATGTCCTCTTTCTTTGTTAATATAATAATTATAATAATAATTTAATCATTAAGAATCTTGACTAGTGAATGTTTCATATTCAGGGTTGCTTTTCATGTGTGAATTAAATAATAATTTTTGGTTAAGTGCATTGTAAAACCTAATCTAAAGTAGAGATGAATTGAAGGAGTCCTGGTGGCACAGGGGGTAAAACTAGCCAGGAGGTTCAAATCCACCAGCCACTCTTCAGGAGAAAGATGAGGCTGTATGCTTCCGTAAAGATTACAGCCTTGGAAACTCGACAGGGCAGTTCTATTCTGTCCTATAAAGTCACAGTGAGTTGGAATGGACACAACAGTGATAGGTCTGTGTGTGTGTGTATGTGTTTGTTTAAAGAATTATTGACTTATGTTACTTATGAGTCATTCGGTTAGGTTTTCTCCATATCATTGGAGTTTTAATAAAAATTATATTTTTAATAAATATAAAAATTAGTGAAATGAGTTTTGCTGATTAGGTTAGCCTATTACATAAAAGCATGTTTTTCATTTAAAAAAAAAAAAGCTGACGGCTTTAAAAA